TTATCCTTTTCAGAATTTCTGCCTTGATCTTCACTCTTCCCATAATAAAAATCTATTGTACATTTCTTTTTACTCATGATGTTTGCTTATTTCCTGGAGAGATTGGGCTCTCCTGCTGGGGAGCAGAGGGTTCTGACCCAAACTTCTTGTGTTGGGAGCCTAGGGCCTAGTCGATGGCTTTGTGAGCTGGGGCCTCCCATGTTGGCAGTTGGAGGCTGTAGGAGTCTGGCAGCTTACCTGGTGGTGGGCTGGAATCAGCAACACTGGAACTCTAGGGGTAGGATTGGGTAGTGTGGCTCCTGGAGATTTCCTGCTCACCCAGGGCTTTTCCTTCCTTTTGCTTTCTTCAGCTCCTTTCAGATAAACGTTGTAAGGGGTTTATCCACTTGGGGCCCCTTGGAGTGCTGCTTCTCTTAGTTTTGCTGAGGCACTGGGAGAGCTGGTTGCTGTAGAATGCCGAGGCACCTGGTGGTTTTCTGAACTGGTTTCTACCAGTTCCCCCACCCTCAATGAGGCACTCGGGGGTCCAGGTGTTGGTGTTTGCCTGCTCTACCACCTGGGCTTCAAGATCTCTTCCTGGTATGTTGAGGTGGGACTTTCCACTAGCTTGCTGGGATGCCTCCCATTCTATACTGCTCTCCTTCCCCCAAGGTAAGAGGGGCCTTTCAAGTTAATTCCTCAAGCTACCTGGGCTACTGGACTGCTGCACCCCACCTTTCTTCTGGTTCAGCTGTTCCAGGGTTTTTCCTGAGGTGATTTTTCTGGGCTTTCAGGGGTTAATAGGGGAGGGTAAGAGAGACTCACCTCCTACTCCGCCATCTTGGCTCCATATATATTCAGTTTTGATATTACTTCATTGTCTATGGTATCTTTTATCAAAATGTAGTTTTCCTGATTGTCTGTTTTAATTAGGTCTGTTTTTGCTTTTGCTTTGTTTGAGATCATGATTGCTACCTCTGACTTTTTTTTTTTACTTCAGCTGAAGAATAGTAGATTCTGCTCCAGCCCTTTATTTGAACTCTATGTGTGTCTTTCTGATTCAAGTGTGTCTCTTAAAAATGACATATTGTTGGATTCTGGTTTCTAATCCATTCTGCCATCTTCTTCCATTTTATAGGTGAGGTCACCCCATTCACATTCACAGTTATGATTGCTAACTGTATTTTCCTCCATTCTATTCTCCTCTGTTTATCCTTCTCTTTTTGTATTCTGTCTCGTCCTCAAAATTCTATTTAGCTTTGGATCACTGCCTCCCTTAATCTACTCTCCCTCTTACTATCTCTCCCCATTCCTTTAGCCCTTTCTCCTCCTACTTCCCTGTAGGGTAAGATGGATTTCTATACTCAACTCTGTGTGTGTATATGTGTGTTTATGTGTATGTATACCCATGTATACATACACACTTTTTTTCCTTCCCTCTTTGAACCAATTCAAATGAGAGCGAGATTCAAGTGTTTCCTGCTTCCTGTGGCCTCCCCCTACTTTCCCCTCCATTGTAATACTCTTCCTTGTGTGCCTCTTTTATGAGATAATTCTTTCTTACCCTTCCCCCTCTTCTCCCAGTGGCTCCTTATTTCTCACTCTCCCATTCTTTTTTTTTTTTTTGAGATCATTCCAACGTAATAGATTCACACCCATGCCCTTTAAGTAGGCTCCTTCTGATTGCCCTAGTGATGATAAGATTCTTAGGAGTTATATGTTTCATTTTCCTGTATAGGAATGTAAACAGTTTAATCTTAGGTCCCTTATGTTATGATTTCTCATTCATGTTTACCTTGTTATGTTTCTCTTGAGTCTTGTGTTTGAATGTCACATTTTCTGTTCAGCTCTGGTCTTTTCATCAGGAGTGCTTGAAAGTCCTCAATTTCATTAAATACCCATTTTCCCCCCTGTAAGATTATACTCAGTTTTTCCGGCTAGGTTATTCTTGGTTGTAATCCTGTTTCCTTTGCCTTCTGGAATATCGTATTCCAGACCCAGTAGGGTCCCCAAGTAGGGCCCCTGCTCCCTTGACTGCTCTTCTCCACCCTGAGTTGAGACCGAGATCTGGCTAATAGTCTACAGAGCAGCCCAATGGTACCAGATCCTGTGAGTAATGCTAGTAGAGGGGCCTCCTGGGATCTCTTTCTGCCCAACCGTTCAGTTGCCTCGCTTTCCCTGTGTTTTGGGCATGCCCAGTGCTCTGACTGTGGTGTTGCAGCTGCCACCTCCTCTATAACCCGAAGACTGTGCTCCTAGCCAGGCCTCCCCCAATATCTGCAAACCTCTCTTTCTGTCTAAGCTTCCCTGGGCTGGAACGAAGGCTCACTTTGACTTTTTGTTGGCTTTTCTACTCAGAATTCAATTTGTCATTTTCTGTGGCCATTCTGTAGAAGAGGTTTTAGGGGAAATTTAGCCATTGTGACCCTTCACTCTGTCCTCGAAGAAACTAGTTCTGCCCAAAGTATACGTTAATGCCCATTCTAGAGGATGTCAGAGGGCTAGAGGAACACCTTTCTCCTCTCTAGCTGATCAAGGAGAATGAGGTCTTCATTAAAATACTAGCAGTGCCTCAAGAGAACACAAGACAGAGGGGATCCTAACCTGCCCAAAGGGTAGAAGAATTCAACTGAGGAAGAAGGAGCACTGAATGTTAGGAGTGAGGTGATAGGAAGGAAGGAAGAAAAAGGGAAGGGAAGGGAAGGGAAGGAAAAAGGGAAGGAGGAAGAACTAGCCAACGTGACTGTTGTATTTGATTGAGTAGTGATCTCATGTCTATGTTAAGATCTATTATCAACATTAAGCAAGATAGAAAACAAATGAACACCCTCCCAGGTGCTCTGCCATTGTCTGGAAGGATGTGCACTCGTCTTTTTCAAAGACCGAAGGCATTAGTGAGTTTTTGTTGCAAGATAGTCTTTAAGCCTGGGTTTTGCTGTACTGAGTCAAACTATTTTTTGTAATTAAACAGTAGGATCTTATATTCTCTAAACCTGTTGATCAGTTATGTGACTGTGAGATGGTCTGCTATGGAAAATCATTTGCAAAAGCCTGCCTGTTTTCACCTTTCCTGTTGAGGATATCCTCCTGCTAGGATCTGTAGGTGGATTTCCAGGGGGCTTTGAACTTGGATGAAAAAAAAAATTACATCTTTATTTCCACTCTAACTGAAAATTAGCATTCCCTTCAATTTTTTAAAAGTATGATTCTGAGAGGGGGTCCATAGATTTCACTGGACTGCCCAAGGGTCTGTGATGCACAAAAAGTAAAGAAACTCTGTCCTAGTGGATAGAATGCAGGGATGAAGAGTTAGGAAGATCCAGGTTCAGATCCTACCTCTGACCCTGGATAGCCCCAGACAACTGACACCACCTTGTGTTGTTTGAGGGAGTTTTCATGCCAGAGAATTTCCTCCTCAATAAACTGGAGAGAATGACACCGATCTTACAGGGATGTTGGGAGATTCCAGTGAGAGAACAAACTTTTCAAGTGCAGCAGTGTCAGCTACTGATAGAAATTGAGTTTTTACTCTACACTGGTATTGTCCTGGATTGGAAAACATCTCTTCTTGGTGACAAAGTCAGGTGTTTGTGGGCTTAGTTGGTTTCTGGGCTCTGTTGGCCTCCCTTCTGTGCTGAGCACTTTATGTTAGTTAGACTTTTGTAGGATATAGTGATCAGAAAGGCCTCCACCTTGATCTTAATCGTATTTTTTGGTGTCTGTCCAAGAATAATAATAATAATAATAAAGAGTTGACATTTATATAGGGCTTTCAGGTTTTCAAAGAGGTTTATTAGTGTTTAAGCAGGTTAGGGTGAAGCAGTTGTAATCATACCCAGCATTTTCCTAACTTCTTTTATCCTTTCTCCTCCTTTGGCCTTGATTTTGACCTAAACAGTCAACGATCTGCCTGTGGAGGGTTGTTTCTGACCTTCAGTCCAATAAATATTTACCCAGCACCGCTTCCTACTGTGACTACCAAGATGAAACCCACATGCTTCCTGTCCTCACTGAGCCGCCATCTCTTCTGAGATAAAGTCAATTTCATTGAAACAAACAAGCCAACTTGGCGCCCAGCATGTTTCCATACTTTCTCCTTGAACGTGTTCATGCCGTGTGGGTGGGAGACTTCTGAGTCCTCTGTAAATGGGTGGGCTTTTGTTGCATGATCCTCAAGATCTTCTGCAGGGAACTTTTCCCTCCCCTCCTCTGCTCCCCCTTCTCATTAAAGTTCTTCTAGCTGATGCCTATCAACATCTTAATTGTGGAAGCAAAACAGAGTCAGGGACATTTCAAATAACGTTTCGAAGTGTATGTGGACCTGGTTTGGAGGGATGGGTAAGACAGAGCCCTCCTCCTTTGCAGCAGATGTTGGCTGCGCCCCATTTTGTCTTTGGGCCCCAAATACAGCGAAATCCACCAGTTCCTCAGTTTGTGTCCCCAAGGAGGCCTTGCGCCACTCCTTCCATTTGTCCTTGTATCACCTGGTTTCATTTATAGGGAGGACCTCGAGATCAGTGTGATTGAGTCCTTCCGTTGATGCATCGCCTGACTGGTTATTGGGCAGTGATCTTCTCTTTAGAATACCAGCAGGTACATTGATGTTTATTGATCCCAAAACATAAGCAGAGGTCCTGCTGCTCCTTTGTCCACTTCTGCCCCTGCCAAAGTAAAAGGGGCTTCATGGGACTGAATGGCATTTTTATTTTTCTCTGTTTCCTGGGGTACCACGGCCAATAATCACCTGGTGGCTGGCTTCCTGGGGACGAGCCTTGTTGTGCCGAGCTAGGGTGGGCCTCAGCAAGCTGATCATCCAACAGAGTGGACTCTGCCAGAACCTAGAGTCCACTGTTACCCCTTGGAGGACCCAGGGTCAGTCATCTCCCCACCACAGGGAGGCATGAGGGAGATATTTGTGCTCACAGAATGCTCCGTGGAGAAAGATGATGCTGCCCTTTTATCAGAGCACCAGTCTGGACCTGGGGCTTGGCTTGTCGTTGATGTCCATACTCCCTTTCCAGAAATGCTGCAGCAGCTGCATCAGCAGCTGGTGGAAGCCGAGCGAAGGACAATGACCTACCTGAAACGCTACAACAAGATCCAGGCTGACTACCACAACCTCATCGGGGTCACGGCCGAGTTAGTGGATTCTCTGGAGGCCACCGTGAGCGGCAAGATGGTGAGTCTGGGATCTCGAGGGAGGCGTCACGGTCCCTGCGTCTCTGAGGGCAGCCCTCTGGGGTGGGGACACAAATACCAGCTACATTACAAGTGAGGAAATGGAGGGGGAGAGAGGGAGAAGTGAAGTGACCCAACCTGGGGCCACACCACTGGCCAGATTTGGTGCCCAGACGTGAACTCAGGGTCAGAGGGAGAAGACCTAGCTCTGACCCTGTCTAGCCTCTAGAAGGCCTTGGTATCCACATCTGTAAAATGGGGATAATCTTTGTCCCTCTGTAGTGCCCTGAATGAGATGGTCTTTTACAGCCACATCAGCTTCTCACCCCACTTGCTAGATAAGCATGTCTGTCAGGAGGTACCCAGGATCTCTATCAAGACTTCAGCCCTTCTTCTTTCTGCCTCTGTGTCTTCTTAGTCAAACATGTCTCCTTGCCCCTTGAGTTGTTTTCTATGTTGGGGCTGTCTTCCCATGCCCTGTTTCAGCATATGCAGTCGAGCGACTTAGAGGAGAGGGAAAAAAGGTGCTCTTGTGTCTGACACTGGCCCCTCCCTTCGTGGTGGGGGTGGCGGTCAGCAAAGGGGAAGCAAACGGGTGCCCTCCTGGCTTGGGCCAGCTCCCTTTCACTGAGATCTCTTCCCTGTCGTTGGGGTGTTTTTCCAGTCCCAATCTTTACATTCTCCATCTCACAGAATCACTCTTTGTAAGCCTACTACACTATCTATTGGTTAATGTTGTTATGGGCCAGTGATTTTATTGGTACCAGGAGCTCCTGAATAGAAAGCACCTTCCTCCAGTGCAGATGGGCACTGTCTTAGGGCTTTGCCTGGGGCACCAAGATCTGAAAACCTTTGCCCAGGTGTGTCAGAGGCCAGACTTGTACCCAAGGCTTCTTGGTTCTCCATCCAATATCCTAGGAGATATGGCTACAGAAAGCAGTAGAACTCATCTCAAGAGGGAGTGTGACTTCCCACATAGATAGAAATGGTTTCAGAACCTTCATCTGAATCAAACTCAAGGGGGAGGACTCTGTAATGGAAACTAAGCTGTATGGAGTTGCAGTACTCTTCTTGACCCTGTGGTCTGAGCAGACTGCTGCCCAGCTGGCGGCCTGGGGGCCGGTGGCGAAAGGGTCAGAGGGAGTTGTAGCCATTTCCACTTTTCCAGATTTCCCCTGGGTGTAGCAGACATCAGACACGTGTTGCTGCTTCTAAAAGGCACAGAGATGACCAAAATGGGCTTAGCTGACATTTGTATAGCACATGGAAATTTGCCAGATGCTTGGCCCAGGCTCTCACGTGGGAGGTTGCTACTACAGGTATTCTTTCCTCCTCATTTGGCAGATGTAGAAACTGAGGCTCAGAAAGATCTAGCTCCTGTTCAGTCAGTGAGTTTCTTAACTCTGATTTTAGCCTCTGATTATCATTTTGAATTGTCATCTGTTCTTATACCATAATTTGAACTAGATTCCAAGCCAGTGTGGATCTAGAGCTGAATATGAGATGTACAGACTATGAGTTATTAAGCCTTTCTAATCCTGGACCATGTGGCACGGACAGGTTCCAACAGAGACAGTGACGAGAAGTTATGGCAGTTGAGAACTTCATTAGCAGAATTAAACCAAAGAAGGCAAACTCAACTTCTTGATGAATTTTGAAGGTTACAGAAACATCAGATATAGGCAGTAGAGCCACATTAGCAGAAGTCTGAAATAGAACAACGTGTTTCTTTCTTATTAAACATAGTATTTTGTTCTGCCTCACCCCACAATTGGGTTCAAGAGAGGGAGTTACATTTGGAAGCGTGTGGTCTGACTGCCCCCTTTGTGGAGAGCTGATGGGGCAGTGGCACCCACAGGTGCCAAGGAAATGAGGGCCTTTTCTCCCCCTAACTTGATGCACTTATGTCCATACTGTAGATCACGCCAGAATATCTGCAGAGCGTTTGCGTTCGTCTCTTCAGCAACCAAATGAGGCAAAGCTTAGCCCAGAGCATTGACTTCACAAGACCAGGAACGGTGAGTGTGCTCAAGGTGCAAAGTGTTGGCTCAAAAGTAGAAAAAATTATGGCTCAGAAGTAAAAGAATATGGAACAGTAGGGTGCCAGAGAACCTGGCGCTGCCAGGCCTCCGAGTGCTAATGGAGGCAGGGCTGAGACACTTGTCCACACCCTTCCACGTGCAGTTGGACCCACAGGTCCCCCATCAGACTGGACTTGCTTTGTCACGCTTTCCACGTGGGCATCCTTGGTCAGTCTCCTTCTCTGTAAAGTGAGGGGTTCTGGGCTGGTCCTGACTCATCCAGGTTCCATATTGGAGTGAAAGGAGATACTTGTAGGTCATCCTTTCACAGGGAGCTTTTCTTAGCTGTAGCAGGAAAGACTCTTCAGCAAGGACGTACTTTGAGAACACCCTGAGTTGATTCTCTGAGTGAAGCTGCCTTGCCTCTGAGTTGCCTGCAGTGGCCCACTGGCTAAGCCTTAGACAGAGGCTGGAGCTCCTCCTGTCTCTTTGTACTTGGTGACCAGGAAGGGATGCCAGTGGCTGGATGGTCTCAGTTAAGACAGAAGTAGCGAGGCTTGCCAGGAGGTGGGTGTGAGGCCATGACTGACTCTGCCCCCTCTCCCTGTAAACACTGAGATCTGAGTCCCCTTGGACCTCTCCTTCAGGGAGTTCACTTCTTTTTCCTTTCTCAGGACTGCGGGCTCTCCAGAAGACGTGATTTGGGGCCTTCTGCTCCATTCGCTGTACAGCTAGTCTTGTCTCACCCCTCATTTCTTCCAGTTCTGAGTTGGTGCCATTCAGACCCAGCCAGTTTCACTTCTAAGCCGGGTTCAAGTTCTGAATTTCCATCTGCCTTGCAGGGTTATTTCTACTTGGGAGACTTAGAGTCCTCTCTCAAAACTTTATGTGTCTTACCATTGAATTTAGTGCATACTTCCTCCCTCCTCTTCTTTTCCAAAGCAACCCTGGCTCCCCCTCGATGTCCATGTTTCTGTAGCTCTGACTCTTATGATTGCCCAAGCTGGAAACTCGGCCATCTAGGATCATTCCTTGGTCTCCAGGGCTTCTCTGCCACCATGTTTGTATCCCACCCTCCCCTTTGGATTTGGCATCTCACTGAACTCATGCTTGGCCCAGCAAGCCTTTGGCTTAGACCAGGGTGTCAGATGGGAGGCCAGCTATAATAGCCTTCCCAAGTGTGCCCTGAACTTGATGAAAGCTAGCAAAATCCACATCAAAACATAAGAGAGAGCAAGTGAAATTGGGGTTGCTTGTTGCTATTGGGGTTTGACAGCCCTGCCTTAGACCCCATGGATGGCTGGCCCTGATCATGGTCGGGGTGGCCGCACGCCCCTCCTGCGGGGCCCATCCATCATTCCATCCTAGAGCCTGCTGCTAGAACTGTGTTTCTCACACCCCAGGGAGGGGACCCAGGGAAGATTCTTCTTCCAGTGAAGGTTTTCTTTCTCTCCTTGGGTCTTTGGTTTCCTAGTGCAGGGATGTCTGGTGTGCAGACTTTCTGCAGCGATGCAGTCCCTTAGGCTCACAAAGATGCCTGGGGGCCCTGAGAGGGGTTGGGCTGGCCCAGGATGGGGTGGAGGCCCAGAAGACCCAGGCCTTCCAGACTCTCCAGGGCAGAGCGTGTTTTCTTCCTGGATTGGGGCTGGGGTGGGCGGTGGGTAGCGTTGTGAAAACTTTGGTTGCTGTTATTGGCCTGAGCTTTCTGGGGTATTGGGAAGTTGGGCGGCCCATCTCCCTAAGGCCTGAGGCAGTCATCCCTGTATTCACAGAGTGTTAAGAGGCCAAACCTAGAGGCCCCAGATAAGATTTTCCTTTGTTGGGAAGTTTACTTAACAAAGAACACAAGGGAGTGGCTTGTTTATTTGAAAGGTAGTAACTGCTCTCCAAAGTAAGTCTGCCTAAGGCCAGAAGGCACTTTCCAGGTAAAAGCCACTAGGGAGCGCCATAGTGCACAGAGCTCTGGCCCTGCATCTTCCTCAGTTCACATGTGGCCTCCAACAGTAGCTGTGTGATCCTGGGCAAGTTACTTCACCCTGTTGGCCTCAGTTTCATCATTTGCAAAGTGGTAACATACTGGAGAAGGAAATGGCAAACCGCTCCATTATCTTTGCCAAGAAAACCCCAAAAAGGGGTCATGGAGAATCTGACACGACTGAAAAGGTCCCTCTATGCCTATGCTTTGTAGGGTTTTTAGTATAACAATGTTGTACTTTACAAAGACTTTTTCTGCTTCTATTGAGATAATCTGGTGTTTGTGGATATTTTGGCTTTTAGCATGATTAAGTGTGCGGATTGTTTTCCTAGTCGTGAACCATCCTTGCATCCCTGGTCTCAATCCCACTTGATCATAACAAATGATTTCTTGGATAGGATTTTCTTTTTTGGAGTTAATTTTCATTAATGATATTGAGCAATAGTTTTCTTTTTGTGTTTTATCTTTCCCTGTTTTAGGTATTAGGACTATATTTGTCTCATAAAAAAGCTTCTGGTGGTTTTTGAGGATAGTTTGTGAAGTGTGGGCACTTTCAGAGTTGGATAGAATTCTCCTGTGTATCCAGCAGGATGCCTCCCCCTACTCAGTCTCCTTGAGGGGGCTCTTCCCTGCTTTCACTTTCCTGGACTGTTTCTGACTTCTCGGTGGGTCATCTTTTACCTGGGGTGGGGCGGTGAGAGCTTTTTATTGAAGGGCTTGCTGCTTCGAATCCTGACTGGACCAGGCCTGGCACCCCCCAGATCAGTGACGGAGTCCCATCAGTTCAACCTCCCTGGCATCTCTGGAATCTCTGGAATCTGGGGTCTCCTTGCACTCAGCTAGCCACCCCACCACCATTGGTTCAGCCCCTCACGGATGATTGCCAGGGCCTCTCCCTCCCCTCACCTGTCTGCTTCCTTTCAGTGACTCCCTCCTGCCCCTAAAATAGACGTAAGCTCCTTCAGAACCGGACTTCAGCTTGCCTTCTCACCTGTGTTCTGGGTTTACTGGCTCTTCTAATCTCAGCATTCCACCCTCTGCTCCTGGGCCTTTCTCCTGGCCATTCCCCAGGCTTGGAATGCCCTCCCTCCTCCCTTCTGCCTCTTAGAATCTTTGCCTTTCTTTAAGGCTCACTCCAGGTGTTGCCTCCTCTAGGAAGCCTTCCCAGATCCCCTCATTGGGAGTGCTCTTACCATCCCTGTCAACTGGATTCCTCCCTCCCTCAGATTTTACATCTTTGTGAGCATGTTGCATTCTCTGGTGGGACTGAAACTTCTGGATGACAGGGGCACTTTTGTTTTTGTAGCTCTAGCCCTGAGCATAGTGCCTGACACACAAAGGGACCTTAATCACATTTGTTGAATTTTTGGTCAAAGTGACCACAAAAACTCAATGGGTCTAGTTTGCCGATTCTTTAAGTAAGGAGCAAAGAGTCATCCCTCAAGCCAAGAGGGGTAGAAATCACTTTGTTTTCTGCTTTCACTCAGCTTGGCATGAAAACAGTTTAAATGTTGGTTCAAAGACTTTTAAAGTGTGTTCAGAATGTTATGTTCTGATGTCAGTGATACCAAAAGCATTTTCTAAAGGAACCTGTTAGACTAGCTGGAGAATTAAGCCTGTTCAGTTTAATGTCTTTACCCCTGGTTTGGACAAAAGCAGAGGTGGCTTATGTGTGCAACGGGCTGATAACCAGAGCTTAAAGGGATTGCCGGCAGATGATGGAGTCAGCATCAGCAGGCTACAACCAGGGCCCACATCTGCTCAGATGGGATTAATGGGGCCAAACACAAAGTTCTACACTTTGGTATAAAAAAATCAGCTGGGGGACAGAGCCAAGATGGTGGAGGGAAAGCAGTCACTTGCTTGAGCTCTCCCCCAAACCCCTCCAAATACCTGTAAAAAAAAATGGTTCTAAACAAATTCTAGAGCAGCAGAACCCACAAAAAGACAGAGTGAAACAAATGTCCAGCCCAAGGCAACCTGGATGGTTGATTGGAAAGGTCTATTGTGCCAGGCTGGGAGAGGAACACAGTTCAGTGTGGGCGTACAGGCCTCAGAGGACTGAATCACGGGCAGCTGTGGCGGTTTCCAGACTTCTCAACCCACAAACACCAAAGACAACTTAGAAGGTCAGTGGGAAAGGTCTGTCCAGCCGTAGTGAGAGAAGAGCTAGGTCCGGCCCCAGTCCCAGGGCAGCGGTTACTTCCTGAGCTATTGGCCCACAGACTGAGGGGGAATCAAGTGGCTAATCAGAGGGGGAGTGCAGGGATCTCTTTGCTGGTGCTGAGGCAGGATTCTCTTGCTTTGCCTGTGCTTGGATCTGGGTTACAGTTCTGGGTGGAGGTCCTGGGGCAAGGAAGAGCGCTTGGCATGGTGGAGCTTATGGTGGTGGTGGAGAGGGAATCCTCCTCACAGTTCCAAGGCAGAAAAGAGTGCTTGTGGTCACTCACAGACCAGAGCACAGGCCAGGAAAGGAGTCAACACCTTGCCCTTGATCATACCACCTTGGAAGAACTGAAAATTTACAGGTCCCTAGAAGTATCTCTGAACACAGCCACACAAAACCCCTGAAGCTTGGAACAGTACACCTCCACATTGGAAGCAGACCCCTACCTTAACAAAAAGTTTTATACTCAAGTAATTGGCTGAGATCATGAGCAAAATGTGCAAAAAAAAAGTCAGACCATAGAATCTTTCTTTGGTGACAAAGAAGATCAAAACATACAACTAGAAGAAGACAACAAAGTCAAAGCTCCTACATCCAAAGCCTCCAAAAAAGATATGAATTGGTCCCAGGCCATGGAAGAGCTCAAAAAAAGATTTTGAGAAGCAGGTAAGAGAAGTAGAGGAACAACTGGATAGAGAAATGAGAGTGATGCAAGAAAATCATGAAAAACAAGCCAACAGATTGCTAAAGGAGACCCAAAAAAATACTGAAGAAAATAGCACCTTAAAAAATAACCTAACCCAAATAGCAAAAGAGGTCCAAAAAGCCAGTGAGGAGAAGAATGCCTTAAGAAGC